GTGGCCCGAGCGGAGGGGCGGGGCGTGCCGCCGGAGAGGAGGGGGGCGAAAATGGGCTTTTTTTCCCGTTGAAAATCGCCTCCGCCGTCACCGTCGCCCCCGCGGGAGGCGCAGGACGGGAGCGCAGGTCCCCGCGCCGAACCCGGCGACCCCCCCCACGCAGGGGAAACCGAGGCACGGCTCCACGGGCATCCAGCCCTGCCCCTCCCCGGCCGAGGGGGCACAACTCCCACCCCGGCCACTTGACCCCCCCCGCCGCGGCTGGGCCGACCCCCTGGTGAGGGGGGGTCCCGTCCCGTCCTCCCCCGTGGGTCACAGACAGAACAGACGGATGGACAGAGCGCTTGGCTTTTAATGGCGGGATGCAGGGCAAGGCACGGGGGGGGGTCACCCGCGGAGCAGCCCCTAAGTGCCAGGGTGGGCGCGGAGCCCTGCCCACCCCGGTGAGCCCCCCTGGGATGTGTCAGCAGCGGAACTGGCGCCTGCCTGTGTCCGTCCGTCGTGATGTGAGGCAGGGGGGTCCCCGACAGGGGGGTCCCAGGCAGTCCCGGTGTCACTCAGAGGGGACCCAGCCTCATCCACGCTCCGCTGTGCCTCCTCCTCCTCTGGTGCCAGCTCGTGGCTGTCGACAGCCTTGGCACTGGTCCTGCCGTCCTGGATGACGCTGACCTGGGTGGGCAGGGACCCCCCGGCCGGGCTGTCCCCGAGGGGTCTGGTGGCACTGCCACCTCCGGGAGAGCCGCCGCCATTGGCACCCACAGCTGCCCCGCTGCCAAGCTCCGCCGTCTCCCCCGGGGACCCCGCGGCCCCTTCCTCCGGCCTCTTCCGTGGCCGCCCACGTCTCCGTTTCTGGGGGGCAGCGTTGCCAGCTGGCTCCAGGGGACGCTTGGTGGCCTTGGGGCGCTGCGAGTCCTGGGGGCCGGGACCCTCGCTGCCCCCCGCGCTCTGGGGGTTGGTGGGGGTCTCGGCCGCAGGGATGCCCACGCCGGGCAGCAGCACATTGAGGACCGGGACGGCGGCTTGCTGGCTCAGGAGCCCCGCCGGCCCATTGGCCCCCGGGGCCAGCCCCAGGGGCACGGAGGGGGAGGCCGTGCCCACTGGCAGCGGCAGGGCCACCTTGACGGTGCCCCCCAGGGGGGCGGCTGTGATTTTGGGGGCCAGGACGGGAGGGGAGGAGCGGACAGCTGTGGCGCCAGGTGCCGTCAGGCACTCCCCCGACGGGATGCGGGGCAGGAGCAGGGGCAGGCGGGCGACCAAGGCGTTCACCTGGGGGCTGCTGGCCGCCTTGGGGGGTTCCGAGGGCTTCTTCTTCTCGGGACGGGGTGGGCCAGGGGGCTTGGGGCTGCTCTCCTTCTTGATCTGCAGACAGAGAGAGGTGCTGGCAGGGGGGATGTCGTGGCGGAGCAGGGCTGCTTCCCCAGGCGTGCCCCCCTCCAGGCTGAGCGGGAGACCTGGGAGTCCTGGCTCCCCACCCGGCTCCAGTGGGGGTCTCACCTGCCCCTGGCTCCTGACACCGCTCTCGGAGGTGTCCAGGCCATTCTTCTTTGCTGTTGACGGGGTCCAACTCTCGCGGTGGACCTTCTCCGTGCTCTCTGCGGGTGCACAGAAGGTGACAAAGGTGGGACGTCCCCCTGGGCCCCTTGGCAGCTCAGCCACAGGTGAGGGCTGGCAGCAGCTCAGCTGCACCATGGGCAGCTGGAAGGGGACACAGTGTCCCAGGGGACCCCGTTTTCTAAACCCTCTGTGCTCCTTGGGGGTCCAAGTGAGCCTGACAGGGGGCTGAGCAGGGCTGGGGCTCCATCCCACACACCTGAGACCACCATGGCCATGACCAGGTCGGCGCGGGGTGAGCGGGAGCTGATGATGTGCTGCTGGATGAGGAACTGGGCCACCTCCACGATGTTGTTGAAGGAGCGCTTGAGGATCTTCTCGGCCCAGTCACAGGTCAGGGCGCAGGCTGCCTCCATCACCTCGCTGTTGTAGGACTGCACCAGGTCCGTCAGCTCTGACTGCTGCCGGTGGAATGAGCCGTGAGACCTCACGGCATGGGACAGGATGCCCCTGGATGCCAAGAGGGCCTGATCCTGACACCCCAGCAGCTCATGAGCCTGCACAGGCAGGCAGGTCCTCATCCACCCTTGGGAGGTTCATGGGACAGAGCAGAACCTGCTCCCAGAGAAGGTGTCCCTCCACCCCTACCTTCGTCAGATCTAACAAGCGAGGAGGCTCGTTACCCTGCCAAAAGAAGGTGGGCAAAACCCAAGCCATGGAGGCAGCAGAGGACTTACGGTCTCGGTCACTTTGAGGTCTAGGCTGGGCAGGGGTGGCAGGCTGACCACCGTCTTCCTCCGGATCCCGCTGTAGCAGTACGTTTGGCAGGGTTAAGGTCTTTTGCTGTCACACGAACACGGCCGCAACAGGCGATGGATCACAGCTCAAAGGGTATGGCCACGGGGCTCAGGGTGTGCTTGTCCTGGAGGCGTGACAGCAGCCAGCCCCACGCCGAGCCGAGCTGCCCCCTTCTTGGCGTGCTCCCTGCCTGCCATGAGCTACCCCCAGGCTGCCCCGAGTGTATGGCAAAGCCGGGGCAACTCCAAGCCCCTCTCAGACAACTGAGCTGAGACTTCAGGAGCCAAAAAACCAGGAACTGGACCCTCTCAGAAGTTCTCAGAAGCTACAAAATACCACCTCATACGCAGACTTATAAATGGGAGAAGCTGGAGAAGCAGCAGCAGTCGCCACCAGTTCAAGCAGCTCCCCAGGCTTCCCTGGCCAGCTGGGCATGTGGAAGGATATTTTGACTGTCCTCGGCCTCCCAGCCGTCGGGCTTTGATGTTTGGGAATATCTCCCGGATGATCTTGCCGAAATTGGCGGTGCTCAGAGGGCGACAGCAGAGGTTATCGCAGTATCGCCTGCCGGGGAGAGCTGCGGGTTAAAGCCATCAAGCCCTTCTTGCTGCCCTCCGGACGCACCAGTGTCTCCCCGCTGATGTGGCTCCTTTCAGGAACCCAAGGTTGGGCCGGGCCATTCCCAAATAATCCCAGGCACTCGCTGCCCTCCAAACCGACCTCTCCACTGGGCTTTGCTGAACAAGCCCGGCCCCAGGGAGAGATGCTCCTCGTGCCAGGCTGGCCCCTGCGCTCACTTGTAGGCGTCGTAGACGTCCTGCTTGGGCAGGCAGGTGTCCATGTGCTCCTCCAGGTGGTTCCGGATCCAGTTGCACGCATGCATGTACTCGGCTGTGCTCAGCGAGCTCAAGTCCAGGCTACCGCTGCTCCCGTGGGAGCCCGAGACAAACATTTAATTAGCAGAGAAGCAGCACAAGCAGGACAGAAGGCGGAGGTGTGGCAATCTCCCCCTGGCCTCTTGCAATCTGCATCCCCCACCATCATCCTGACAACCCCTGCTCTCACAGACACAGCCCCGGCTTGCTCTAGCACCCACCTCTTCTCCCCCAGGCTTGGTCCTGACGGCAGCTGGAGGTAGAGGTAGAGCTTGTCGCTATCTGAAAACTTCTGGACATCTTGCTACAGTCAAAGGGTCCACAGGGAGGGAGAGAACGGACCAGAGACAAAGAAAGGTTAAGGATCCAAAATAGGGAAGAGCTGATGCAGGCAGCGCTCTCATTACCCTCTGAACAGCAGAATATGATGGGGCACTGAAACCAGAGCAGCTTTGTCAGTGTGAACACTGCCTGCGTGCAAAGGAACCAGGTGAATGAAGTCACGGGAACTGCCCCTCAAGGGGACTGGAAAGGATTGTCCCACTCAGGGCTGGGGGATTGGGTGCCACCCACTAGGCAGGGTGCTCATGGGTTTCTCAGGGCTAATCCCTGCAGCCAGATCCTGACCCGATGGGAAATGGGGCCCAGGGTTCAGTTTAGCTAGGATAGGAGAGAGGCGGAGACACGTCATTCCCTCACCCTCAGCCCAATGTGCTGCAGAGGCACTCACCAGGATGGCGTCAACTTTGTTCTGCACGGATTTGCTGCGTGGGACAGAGACAAAAGGTGTTAGTGCAGAGCAGGACAACACCGCAGCAGCCGGGGCATTCCTCAACCCGCCCAGCTCTCTGCCACAGCCGCTGCCCAGGGCTCCCGAGGACAGCGCTGTCCGCAGGCCCTTCCAGACCCCACATATGCACCCCGGTATGAGTGACAATGCCAGACAGGGACACTGGAGCACCAAGAGCCAAAGGCTGCCTGCACCCATGGGTCAGCACAGCCCTTTCTTCCCATGCTCCGAGTTGCCCTGTGCACCCACAACCCAGCTCTAGAGCTGCATGCTCTACCCTAACCCTAGGGAGAGCAGAGCAGGCATAAAACCATATCCCCTGAGGTTGTAGCAGACCAGTCTGTGCTACTGTGAAGCCCTGAATTGATTTTGCACCCAAAACAGGCAGCAAGCTGCTGGCAGTGCAGCGTGGGGCTGCACTCTGTGTACAGCACCTAGCATGGGACCGAGCAGGCCACGCCTGAGGCCATGCCACTCTGCAGCGCCAACGCTGCAAGGCACCGCAACACTTATCCTTTCAGTCGTGGGGCTGCAAATTAATCAACCTTGTTAAATTAAGCCACATTTGGTAACGCTCAGATTAACTTCAAGAGCTGCCCAAGGAAAAGTGAGTGCTGCCCTTACGAGATGGTGCTCTTCAGCTCCTGCAGCAGTGTGCTCGACTCTGTCGTGCTGCCCCGGGAGCTGCTGGGTGACAAGCTTCCCTTTTTGGTGGCTTGGGTGCTCAGCTCTTCGTCAGCCATGACACTTGGTTCCTGTTGGGAGGTGAAAACCAAAAATTCAACTAAAAAAAAGGGAAGAGAAACCCTTCAGAGTTGTTGAGCCCCAAGTGGACACCCACAGGGCTGACCTCTGGCCACCTGCCCCTGGGCTGGGCTCGGGGAGGAAGGCAGGGCGGCTGTGGGGCTTGGCGCAGCCCAAAACTTGCCCATCCTCAGCCCCTGTCCATCCTGGTCAGAAGACGTGCCCCGGCTCTGCAGGCTGAGCTCCATCAGCTGGACACGAGGCACCAATGGACACGGAAATGGCCCCAGTGGTCCCAGGAGGGATGTCTCCAGCAGCACAGACTGCAGCCGGCTCCGGGTACCCTGCTCCTGGCAGGTCACCATCAGGGCAGGTCCCCAGGGAGATGGGGACATGGGACAGCAGGAAGGCAGAGGTCCTCGTGAAATGGCGACATGGGGCAGCAGGAGGGCAGAGGTCCCCAGGGCCAGGGCCACCATCGGGGCAGGTCCCTGGGGGACGGGGGTGCCAGGGGCTCCGTGACAGCGCATCCCCGCCAGTGCTGGCTGCCGGGGAGGGGACGGGGGACAGGGACAGCCGCGTCCCGGGCCGGGGAGCACCGGGGCAGGCC